GAGTTGTTTTGCAAACGATTTCGAGATGGACAACTTCCTTTGGCAGGCCGAGCTCAAGACAGAGCCAGATCATTGGGAGGCATCCCACGTGCAGACGCCTTTTTCGCCAGCGAGCTCGGATTCGCGGCCATGGGCAAATATTGGTATCAGGAGCGTCTGCCGTATACAGAAAAAAAAACGTTTTTTTCAGCAGAGTACTGGGCCCAGCCTTATCAGGATTGGAAGCATCTGTTCTGACATCGACCTCCCTTGAAAAGATCCAGGTTCGCATTTTGCTGTACGCCAGGAAAGCCGTGAGGGGGGAGGCCACCTAGTTGACACGTTCTCACATGGCATCGATTCCGAACGACGAAGTGCTTAGATATTGCAGACTAGCGCCCCTCGAGATCGAATACCGAGCCAGACGAATTAAATGGTGCCAGTCTTGGGTAAACGATCCCCGAAACACTTAGCATCATGGGGAGGCTCTTCTTGGAACTATGAGGATGGATGAGGAGAGCGGGCTCAGCACCTTGAATAACGACGGACAGCTTTCTGATGGTGCTTGCCCCTGGGCCCGCCGTTTGTTAACGATCTTGTATCACTGGAGGACCTCGGAGACGATGAGCACGAAATGATTCAGGAAATTAGCACAATCCCCTTCCGCCTCTTCAGCTCCCCCGAGCTCATCGATTGGTTTACCCAGCTGGACCACAAGATCATCACAGCAAAGTGGCTTGGAGTATGCATGCCCCCACCTGGCTATTCGATGTCGCACTCGACCGACCCAACCGACCAGCTCGACCCCCAAGCCTCGACGGAGCTAGCAGACCATCGGTGTGCCGCCCATGGATGCAGCAGAGGCTGTCACAGCAAGCGGCAGCTCCTGGTCCATCCCCCAAATCACCGTGGGCGTCCATCGGTCGTGGGCCAGGCTATCTGCTCAAATCAGTGCTGCGTCTGCGAACGTATTTTTGAATACAGGAACTCAGCCTGCAAGCATGCTGCCGACAGCTTCAGGACAGGAGTGTGCGTACATTCCCGAAGTTCGACCTATCAGCTTTGCGCCAGTCCTACCCTGATTTGTCCACTCTGTGAGGCTCAAGAAGGCACAGAAGCCAAGCTTCTATTCCATATTCGGTCACACTTCGCGCTCATGCCAGTCGTCGACGATGGAGGCAGCAGCAACGCCAGATTGGTTCATGGAGCCAAAGGGCAAGCGCAAGACAGACGGACAGCACGGCGCACAAGCGGACAAGCTAGCCAAACTGCAAGATGAAGCCCTCGACAACAAGGAGGGCGCGGGCTCTGCACTGGCGGCGCTCAAGTGCAAGGATAAGGCAAGGAGCATGGACTGGGACCAGATTGGCCACGCATATTAATGGGCCTCCTCCTCTACCTCGTCAGGGGCGCGGAGAACCTCCCAGAGAAATGCAAGGCCACCCTGACATGCTACTGGAACGCCATCGCGGCGATGCCCCAGCAAGCAGCCCTTCGCACAGTTCAGTAACACGTTCGCTTTCTACGCCTCCGCGGATGCCATGTCGACAAGAAGCAACACAAGTAGCCGCACCTGTACTAGTTACAACTCATGATCGCGCCAGCCCAGCAGACCATCAAGCTCAAAGCCAACGACCAGACGGAGCTGCTGACGCTGCACGAGGCACTGTCGCAGGCGGCGGAGGCGCAGGGGGGTACATTCAAACCAGGATCAGCGCCGCGAGGCGCAATGGAGAGGGACGCGGAGAAGCCGCTCGCCAGGATCGGCCTCTCGCCAGGATGCAAGCCAACTCCGCCAGGCCAATTTCAGAGTACAGAGTTGGCACTTCAAGTTCTTCTTTGTTGCATCAGGTTGGAACCCCTGTGGAGCCCACGGCTTCTATGGTAAGTTTGCTCCAAAGGTCCTCCAGGGTCCGCCTTCTGAACAGTGTCCTCTCCCTCTCCTCGGTTGGGTCCCCCTCCCCCTTTCCCCTGCTTGCCCCGCCCCCTCCCTCCTCTGACTGATCGGCCAGGCTTCCACAGAGGGTAGCGCACATAAAGAAATGGTGTAGGATTGACTCGCACCTAGAGCTCCCAGGGAATAAGCTGCCTCTGGAGGGCCACGGCGGGGCACTTCTTTCTGCCTTCTGTGGTCCCCCTGCAGGCCAGAGAGATCCCTCCGCAGGGCCGCTGGTAGGCGCTAGTTCACAGCGTTCACAAAACCAAGCCATCCAGCAAGACAGGCTCGTAAGTGCTCTTGTCTTGTCTTGTCTTGTCTTGTCTTGTCCTCCTTGTCCTGCCCCTCCTCCTCCTCGTCCTCCTCGTCCTCCTCCTCCGCCTCCTCCTCACCTCCTCGTTTCGCTTCCTGTCGTCGTCGTAAATTCGTGGGTGCCCACAGTGTCCCGAAACCCCTCGGAGGGAGGAGGAGGAAGAGGAGGAGGAGCAGTCCATCTAGCACGGGGGGAACGAGTCGTGGCACCACTCTACTACCGATTGAAATTATTCGCCTGGGGCTGCTGTGGTATGGAGCGGAGCGCGCGAGCAAGAGTCGAGGGAACGACACCAACACGCTCCTGAGAAACCTGGCACGCGAGCAGAGCTGAATGCCTGGTCTGGGTGGTAGTGCTACAAGCACCAAACACATGAAGTTTGCACAAATGTTCGGCACGCAGTTTATGGAAGATATGGAAGCTCAATGCGGCGAGCTCGTGAGCGCGCCGCCGCGAAATCTCTGCAGTCCTGTAATCCTGATCCGACCCGAAGCCGAGACGAACCACGGGGTCGAAAGGGAGGTAGATGTGACCAGGGAGAGCAAGGAAGTGAAAGAGACGAGGACAAACAAGATTACGGGAATGAGCACCCGGAGCCTGCTCGCAACCGAACCTGCGCGTGAGAAATGTCAAGTGTGGACCCGTCGCGAAGTGATCCACGCTCCCGCGATCGTTTTGCAGCCCAAGCTCTCATCGGCGTCGAACGCATTACAACGAGTTTTTAATTCTGCCACCGTCTCCTCATTTCCTCGACTCCTGCAGAAAGCTTGAGTGGAGGGCGGCGGCAAGGCGGCGGCAAGACGGCGATGGCACCGAAGGTGAAGGAAGAGAATTAGGGAAGAGGCGAGAGGTCAGAGCAGAGGAGAAATATGTGGGGCCCGTAGTTCGGGCACGCTGGCGGCGAGGAGGAGAAGGGGGAGGAAGAGGAGGAAAAGGAGGAAGAGGACAACGATGAGGATGAGGAGGAGGAGCGAGCGTCCCTGGGGGCAAGAGTCCTCCTCCCGCCCGCTACCCGCTCGACCGAGCGCCCTCAAGGACACTCAGGGGCGCGGCGTCGCGGTCGGCGGCGGAGGCGGCGACGCCGTCGGCGTCGGAGAGGGCGACAAGGTCCGCGGACGCGTCGCCGAACGTCTCCTGCGACACGGGGTCGAAGGGCACGCGGTCGGGGCAGGCGCCCTCCAAGCCCGCGAGGGCGACGAAAGCAGGATCATCTGCGCAGCAATGTGAGCCCCAGCAGGTGCCACGTCGACATCGCCCGCCAGGTGCACGAAGTTGGGGTCGACGTCGTCGTGGTCCTCGGCGGCAGCGCGCGCGCCTCAGGGGATGCATGTCGGCGTCCGCGGCGCAGACCCGTCATCTTCCGAGCCGCAGGCCATGGCATCTTCGTCAGCACACAGCTCGAGAAATTCAGCTCGAGAAGCAGCTCCTGCGCGCCAGGATCGGGTAGACACTCCAGCTCCTCATCATGTCGGTTTCTGCGTCTTCTCCCAGGAGGCAGCTAGGGTTGCTCAGCATCCAGCAGACCAGCTCTTTCTTGCCCACGGAGACCTCGGGGCACAAGCTGTTCAGGGCACGAAGAGATTTGGCCAGCTGAGGAAACGAGATCTCCCCGGGATAAGTAGGCTCGACAGGCAGCACCGTTGATGGCGAGCCCGCAGAAGAGGAAACCGCCGACGTCGCATCCGCTGAAGAAGGGCGCGGGGCGATGCCGCGAGCGAAGAGCCTCCAGCGAGAGCTGCAGGGCCAGCAAAATGGAATGAAGAAGCCCGCTCGCGTCGAAGCCGCAGGCCGCATTCGCGCCGCTAGGCTCAGCGCCAGCAGCCAGAGGGCCCAGCTCACCTTGATCACCTTCGGCAGGAGGCCGATGGACAAGGAACCCGCGCACCGTGGACAGCATGGGCCTGGAGAACAGGAGATGGACCAGCGCCGCGTGCAGCAGGAGGCTGAAGCACATGGGGCCCTTGGTGTTCATCAGGGGGGGGGGGGGGGCGCCATCGGGGCGAGCAGCCGACGGAGTCTCTGACGAAGAAGGAACAGGTGCGAGCGGCGCGGGGAGCGGCGGCGTGGTCATGTAAGGCGGCGTCGCGGGGCCCCTCGTCTCCACGGAATCGACCCCAGCTCGCTGTCCTCGCTTTCGACGATGTGGCCATGCAGCCCAGGGTGTCTGCAGCGGGTCGGGGGCGCGCCAACAGGCGCGGCAGCAGGGGCCAAAGCGTGCGCTGACGAGGGAAAAGCGCCTATCCAAGCAAGAACGACCGCATCAGCTCCTGGAGGTGGAGGGCTTGATGAGCTCGCAGCCCGCCAGGGCGGAATGGCACTTGAGGAGGCAGAAGGTCGCCCCTGCGACGCTGCAAACGGCTTTGGGCGGGGGCCAAGGATAAATTCGAACTCGCGATCAGACATCACGTCGCCCTCGAAGAGTGCTGGTGGAGCCGGTGGCCGCGAGGGCCCCACCTGGATCTCGTCCATTATTTCCAAATCAGCATCTGCGGGGGACGGGTAGGGGTCCTCTCCAGGGCCGCGCTGCGTGTTCGGCTCGGGCTCGTCGGGAGGTAATCCTCTGAAGAGCTCGGGATATCTTTGAACGTGGGGCACCTCGGGCCCAGGTCGAGGTCGCCAATAGAATAGCCACGGGCAGCGACAAGGCCTGCTGTGTGCGCGCGGAATTGGAGTCGCACTCAGTCCACGGCCATGCCGCTCAGCGCTGTCACGTTCGACCCAAGGTAGAAAGCGGATACGAAGGTCCACAGGCATGCCGGACGGGTCAGGGTGCTAGGTGAGCATGGCGAAGTGCTGCTTGGAGAGCTTCATCATCAAGCGCAAGGCCTCATCCTACGGGGCCGGGTAGCGCGCCCACGAGCTTCCGACGGAAGCGCTCACGAGAGATAACGATTCCACGCCAGCCGGCCGTGCATATGTCTCCCGCTTCGCGGCGGCGCAGGCGCTCCTGGCAGCCGCCCCATGCGGGCAATGATGCGGGAGGAGTGGTCCGCAAAGGGGGAGTGGAACAGCGGCCCGAAGACGTAGTCGACGCGCCAGCCCATCCAGGTCGCGAAGTTGCCAGCCCCACCCTGGTAGAATATCGATGGCGCCCCGCTGTCTAGCCAGATCATGGCGCGGTTGATCAGCTCGCGGCGAAGGGCGATAAAGCGCTGGACAAGGGAGAAAACAGGGCGCGCGCCACTAGCGTCCATGTCGCTGAAGGAGTAGCCATTATTGCAGAGGAAGTTACCAGAGGTCTCAACCGCGCTCTCTCGAAGCAGGTCGCCGGGGACGTCGGCTGCAGACAGGGAAGACGGTAGGCCGCGCAAGACACCGCAGTCCTCCGCCGCTTGATCTCGGAGTACAGCACCCTGGCCTTCAGCCGCATTCAGGCGTGAAGGATCACGGAGGAGGCAACCGCCGGCAACCGTAGCAAGCTGGCCCGCCATTGTAGAGAACGGCCGCGCTAGAGACTCGAGCTATCGTCGAGACAGAGGTGCCAGCGTCGACCACGCGGAGGAGCGGGATGGCATCGAGAGCGACGGCAGCCTCGACAACACCGATCTCAGGAAGCGACGGTGTCGCGCGAGGAAAGCTGGGCGAAAGCGAGGATGACGAGCTGGCCAAAGTGCTGGACGACTGTGCTAAAGTGCTGCAAGAAGCAGGGGGCGTGCGACCTGAGCTCCGAGCACTGCGGCCAGAAGAAAGCGGAGCCCGCGAAGGGGAAGAGGCCCAAAGCTGGGCAGTGGAAGTAGCTGTTTTGACGCGCGACCAAGCTGTCTCGAGGGGTCAGACACAGGCGGCCGAGCCATGGGCAGCGCTGACATAGGCGTAGTACATGACCACGACATTGAAGATGGTGCGCCCCAGCGCAGTGGCAAGGCGCGAGTAGCCAAGCTCTTCCTCTACCAGCCTCCGAAAAAGGACCGCGCATGAGGTAGTGCTCGAGGGCGTCGGGGCAGTGCTTGCAGCCGAAGCGGGAAGAGATGCGGCCACGAGGTTGGAGCATGCGGTGCGACGTGGCCCGGCCGTTGGCGACCGCCTTGATGTGTGCGAAGGCCCGCGGCATCGAGCATCCGCGCAGGCATTGAAGAATGTGGCCCCGTCGGCGCGGTGGAACGCGGGGGCGGTCGTCGATGCGCATCGCAGGGGAGGTCCTGGAGAGCCCAGCGACGGGGCAATTCCATAGCGGGCACGGAGCAAGGCAGCGCTTGATCGCTCTCGTGACAAAGCGAGGCCGGCGGAGGTAGGACAACGTTCATACCGCTCCCGCGCTGCATCTCTGGCCGCCACAAACCGAGGGGCGGCGCAGTCGGGGGGGATCGGGGGGGCGCCGCCAGCTTGAGGGCGCGCCAATGTTTCCACGAACGCTTCCGACTTCCAGAAATACGGGCAGGGGCGCGTGGGAGATGCTTGCGAGAGCTCTCGTAGATCACCCAGCCGATCGCGTTAACGCTGCAGCTAATGATGGAGACGCTGAAATTCAGGGAGGGTCGCGCGGGCTGTGCGGGTCAGCGCGCCAATTCTGAGTGCTAACCGCGACGGGATTGAAGGGCCTCCAGCGCTGCGAAGTCGAAGCCAAGCCGCTATGTTGAATGCGCCGATGGGGGCCCGAAAGGTATTGAAGAGCGCGACAAGCTCCTGCTTGAGGAGCCACTGCGGCATCATCCTGTGCTGGGCGACGTAGGAGAGCACGGGCGCGATCCCGGCGGTGTAGTTGGCGGCGAGACGCGACGCTGCCAGCGGGCCGCTGCCAACGAGGCGCGAGCGCAATTTGACCTTGATCGATTGCGCCAACCGGCAGGAGCTCTCATCAGCAGCTGGGCTCAAGACCAGACCCGAGTAGACCAGCGCGCTCGCAATCTGGATCTTCGCGAAGAAAAGAACCGCAGCAGCAAGAGCTTGCCGAACTGTCGTGGCCACCTCCACCGAGAACGGAGCGTGCAAGGGGACGAGCATGCACTCGGTCAGCTTCGGCGAGAGCGCGGCAATGGCATCTGCGACCTGCATCGCCTCAGCGACCGCCCGCAATGCTTGCGCATGCTTGACGACGCACCCGATATCGTCAGCACGTGCCCGCGCAGGGCCAAGTCGATCGCCTTCTAGCAGCACTTGTACATCAAATAAGAAGCACGCGATGACGGCAGCGTAGATCAAGCCGCTGAGTGAGCAGCCCTGGACGATACCAAAAGAAATCCGCCACGAAACTGCGGGCACCCCGTTGACCATGACCACGGCGTCCACAATGTGGTAGAGCTGCTCGCGCACAGCTGCGCTTCGAGATGAAGCCGCGCTGGGGGCGCGGGGCCAGGTCCATCAGGAGCCTGCTGAACTGAACGTTGACGGCCGCCGTGGCGAGCTTGACGTCGGCGTTGCGAAGACCGAGCGCTCGCGCGGCGCTAGGAGCTCGAGAACGCCCAGCAGCCATTGAGTCGTCCACCTCCTCGCCATTCCAAGGCCAAACCTGAAGCGTGTCATTCGAGCTCTTGAAAGGCGCCTGACCGCTCATGACCCAAATCATCGCGTCGGCCAACGCGTTGATGCCCGAGGAGGTGGTCGCCCGTGCCGAGTGCGGGATGGAGTCCAGCCCAGGCTCAGAGTGGTGCATCTTCTGAGCCGCGCGTCGTAGAGGGGCAGGAGACGGCGGCTCAACCCTGGAGATGCCCAGGGCAGGAAAGTGCCGCGCAATGTACTGTTGAGCCACGGTGAGATCGATCGGCTTGGCTCTGAAGATTGGAGCCCAATGCTCTATCAACCCCTCGGTCATGATTGACGCATCGCTGATGGCACAAGTCGGGTCCGATGGGGTGTTTGACAGCCCGCAGGACGAGCCGACGATCGAGGGGAGACCAGATGGCCGCGCGGCGCTCCACCGCCGCGAGCTGGCGCCGGAGGGCACGGTGTGCCCGGGGCAGCGCGAGACACTCCTCAAGCCGCGCGTGAAGCCCATCAGCATGACGACGACGCTGACTGCCATCGCACCAGTGCCGAAAAGAGGCCGCATGGCGAAGAACAACCCGCTGGTCACTAATCTTCACGAGGTTGCGGGCCGCATCGCGGTTGCAGATGAGCTCGGTGTCATTCCGCTAGACGGCTCTGGGCATCTGTCGCGATAGCAGAAGAAGCGTCGAGGCAGCTTCAAGCGCCTGGGCAAACTGACGATTGCGGAGATCAGCAGCAACCGCCCGTATAGCCCATTTGTGCAGCTCGATCTGCCGTGGGGGACCCTTGCCAGAGTAGTTCAAATGCTGGCAAACCTATGGGACCTGTCGTTGAAAATCGTCGGACTCGAACATTCGACGGGGGATCCGATGCGCGCGAGGAGGTTTGGGCACGCGTTGGGCAAGCTTGACCCTACGCGCGGCGCGATCACTAACATGTCGATCGGCGAGGTCTTCAGGGAAGCCCTTGACAGAAGGTTCGTACGTAAACTGCGTAAGAATCCACCCAGGCCTGCTGATCCACAGTCTGTCCAATATCGAAACCGAATGCGAGTTCCTGTCGTTGTGCGTTCGCTCATCCGACGAGATCTCTGTAAGCAAGCGAAGCGCCTGGGACCAGCGCGCCGAGCGAGCATGCTGCCCTTTGCTTTCAGGAAGAGGCCGACGGGGCTGATGAAGCAGAGGAGGGGCCCTCGAGGCGAAGTCCATGTCGTCGTGGAGCACCACCGCGTTGTGCAAAGGTTCGGCCTGCGCCACCTGCATGTCAGCTGCCAAAACTTTCGAAACCAAGTTGAGCTGTGTGGTGGTGAGGTTGTGATTATGTACGTTGAAGTGAAAGATGCGGATACCCTCCATCTGCAGCACTAATCGTAGCACTCGACCAGGAACCAGGGAACGATGAGAGACCTCAGCTTGGCACCCCGCTGGCAGAATAGTAGCAACACCACCTTTGACTGCCGACCCCTCGCAGTAGCTGGTGTAAAGACGAGCGGCAAAAGCCGCCTTAGAGAGAAAGTCGGCAAGCTGCTCCTCGTTCTGGTGCACCTCCTGAAGAGAAACAACCCCGCGGGTGAAGTCCAAGCGCTTGAGGTAGGCGAGCTGCGGCATCGCGTTGGCACCCTGGTACTGCAGGGGTGCTCTGGTATTCCATGACGTGAATGAGAAGATGGGAGCGCCAGTAAGCTTGCCATGCATAGCATACGCGAAGCCGTCCAAGGCTCCACTTAGCAGACCCAGGGGGTGCAATGATGGTCTGGCCGCCGCAGCCAAGCGCTCTCTGGGTAGACCAAGCTTCTGGACGATGTTGTTGGCCCACGCGATGTCTGAGGCGATGTTCCCAGGGTTGGGAGCGAGACGAACGAAACACTGGATCCCTGGGGTTGGGGGCGAGGAGGGGGAGGAGGAGGAGGAGGAGGAGGAGGAGGAGGAGGAGAGCAGGGGGGGAAAACGGAGCGAGGACGCGGGGTGAAGGGGCGGGCGAGAGGGGACGAGGGAGACCTCGTTCAGAGAGCATACCCACGAAGTCTACGGTACTTGTCATAAGCCACCCTGGAATGCTGCTGCTGCTGATGATGAGGTTGTTGATGATGATGGTGATGATGATGCTGATGACGATAACCATGACGATGACGATGACGATGATGCTGATGATGCTGATGCTGATGATGCTGCTGATGCTGCTGATGATGCTGATGATGATGATCACGATGACGATGACCATGACGATGACGATGAAGATGACGATGATGATGATGCATATGATGATGAGGATGATGATGATGATGATGATGATGCTGACGTTGATGTTGATGACGATGCTGAGGTTGATGATGATGATGATGATGGTCATGATGATGATGATTATGATGATGATGGTCATGATTATGATGATGATGATGATGTTGATGATAATGATGATGATGATCATGACGATACTGCTGATGATGATGCTGATGATAATGCTGATGCTGATGGTGATGATGATGATGATGGTGACGCTGATGATGAGGGGGAGGAGGAGGAGGAGGAGGAGGAGGAGGAGGAGGAGGGGGAGCAGGAGGAGGAAGAGGAGGAAGAGGAAAAGGCGGAGGAGAAGGTGAAAGAGGACGGAGCAAGGCTAAAGATGAGAGAAAGACGAGGCGGAGGAGTGACGAGGGGCGAGGAGAGGGCGGGACGAGGTGAAGAAGAGGACGACGAGGATGAGGTGGGACGAGGGACGAGGGAAGACAGAGGGATGGGAGGCGAGGAGGAGGATGTTACATTAGACCAGGCGATGCGAGTAGGAGGCGGGAGGAGAAAGGGCGATGAAGGAAACCTCGCCCCCAAAACACCCGCTCCTCCTCCTTCTCCCCCTCCTTCTCAAACGTCTTGCTCCTCCTCCTCCTCCTTCAAATTCTTGCTCATCCTCCTCCACGACGACGGCGCCGACGTCGACGACGGCGGCGACCAGCGACCAGCCGGCGGCGGCGCGGCCACGGCCTGCAGCCGCCGCCGCCTTGACCTTCTCCAGCTCCGCGTCCACGAACTGAATCAGGGCCCTCTGCCGGTTCGGCGCCAGCTGGTCGAGGTCCAGGTCCACCTCCTGCCCGTCGTCGCCTGGAGGAGTCACAGGGGTGGAGGCCGCCGCAACGTGGTCGCCGTCGCCGCGTCGTCCTCCTAATCCACAATGATTTGACAATTACGCAACATGCGTACTGCGCTCCTTTCCCCCGAAGACGGCCTGAGAATCGCACGTCCCACCGACACGCCTGGTGGTGCGACGAGGGAGAGTTTCTCATAATGCTGCAGGGGCGCGGGAGGAGAGGGGCCGAGCAGGGGAAGGAAGGGAGACCTCCGCCCACGTCTGGCCCGAGGAACTCTAGCACCCTGTCCAGCTGGACGTCGTCCAGCTGGTCGAGCTTGCCCTGCAGGATCAGCTTCTCCTCCTGGGCCACGTCTGTGCAGCAGGGCAAGCACTAAATCCTGAAACCGATCGAGAGCGCGCTCTTTTTTATAAACAAAAACAAAGCACTGCGTAAGTATAAACTCTGGGGCATCCGCGCGGACCTCCGAGAGGTTCTGTTTGTGCCGTTTTCTGTGCCACGATATCAGAAGCCGAAAATCTTAGCCTTTCGAACTCCTACTTGGGACTCGAGGGGCCTCTGACGGACCCCGGCGCAGCTGCAACAAGAGCCCAGAAGCACGCGCGACTGGCCTCGCGTGCGGGACACTCGGAGGGCCCGCGCGCTGGCGGCACATGAAGGGCGCGGGCGTGGCCTGGCCGCTGCGAGGGCCGAGCACTGGAGGGGCTTGCGACCAGATGTGCGTCCAGCTCCCGCCCACGGGACGCATAAGGACGTACTCATGTTATGTGCCGCTGTTGGAGACGCCCGTCCGACCCGAACGTATAGTACCAAAACCTTGTTGTATATCGGTTTCCCTGGCGGTATGGCCAGAGAGCGCCCGCCACGGAATTCACACTGTACGATTTCCTCGCGTGCGCGTCGACCTTGCGTGGCAGACACACGTTTCGTATAAGTATGTCTGGGTGGCACCGAGCCCAGGCTGGCCAGGCTGGCCCACGTTGGAGGCCTCCCAAGCGCGGTCTGAGTAGGTGAGTCGGAGGACCGCGCCGCATCGCCAACGTATTCCCGATGCATCGGCGACGTCAAAGGTGCATCGGCGCCGCTGGCGTGGAGAAAGACGGGCTCCGCATCGAGCCGCATCGGCGATGCATCGGCGATGCGGCGCGATCCTCCGACCCATCTACTCGGACCCAATCTCGGAGGCCTGGACACGTGCCTGGTCGGGCCATCCTCCCGTGGACTGGGGGCAGAGGCGCGCTTTCTCTTCTCCACTCTCTCCTGGGGCGCAACAAGTGTTCGGCAAGGGCATTTCTGTTGGAGCCTCTTCCCTGCCCCATGTAGAGGGGACCTGGGGACACTGAAAGATGCTGCCCCATATCCAGAACGCCCCTCCAAGAGACCAACGGAGCCCCAGCTGATCGGACTAACTGGACCCCCCGCCCGCCACAGTCCAGTACTTGCTTACTTGCTGCCCCCCTCCATGTCGCCAGTGGATCTCTTTCGAATTATCGTGCGGGGCCCCATTGACGGCATTGGCGGGGAGGATGGAACATATCACCAAACGGTAACTCAAACAAATACGCATACATATCATGTGAGTATACGCTGCTCTGGTCTACTCCGACCCCCTACTATACTATACGCTATTCGTATATGATTATCTATACTCCCCTCTGCTCCCATCCAATATGCTTTATTATGCTCTGCTCTACTCGACTTGCTGTACTCCTCTCTGCCCCGGGTTACTCTACATATACCTGCTTACTCTGTACAGCCTCGGGAGAGGGTTCTCCTAACGCCGATCCACGAGCCAACGCCAGTTTTCAGCTGGCCACGTGTTAGCGATGCCGAAGCGATGTGGGTTTGCACCACATAACTGAGTACACCACATAGATTCCACCGCATACGTTCCACTACCTAACCTGCACGGCGTAGTTTCCGCCGCATTGTTTCCACCACACAGCGTGCACCACATAACTGGTGCCAAATCGCTTGCATCACATAACTTACACCACATGGCTTGCATCCGTTTGTGATAAGCGGCGCTGCGCTGCGCCTTTCGCGGCCACGGGTCGGGGTCTCTTATGTTTGCCCTGGCTTGGGCTCCTCGTTGCTGCGGTCGGACTCAGCTGTGGCTGGCGCTTGGAGGAGCGAAGTCATGTCATACAAGAGGACTTCTTAGGCGGAAGGGGGCCCAACCCAGACCATGCGGGACTCTTGTGGAGGACCTCTCAAGCGAGATACCGCCCGAACCAGATCAAACCAGACCAAGTATGAGGACGTTGCAAGCGAAACCCACCCCGAATCACAACACATCGAGCAAGGTGCCATAACGCTTTAAGCGAAACCGCGGCAAGACCAGGCAAATCGTAAAGACGTCTCAGACGCAACCGCGCCCGAACCAGGCCAAACCAGGAAAACCGTGAGGACGTCTTGAGCAAAACCGCGCCGAAGCCAGTCCAGCGACACCGCGCCGAAACCAAGCCAAACCAGGCAGAGTGCGAGAAAGTCTCAGGCGAATCCACACCGAAAGCAATCCAAACCACGCAAAACCAGGCCCCCGACCAAACCAAACCGGGTCCCAAGCAAATTCTGAGAATGTCCCAGGCTGGGCGCTCAGCTCAACCAGGCCAGATCCATCATAGAATTAGACTGAAGGTGTGGATGGCTCAAGGGGGTCCCCACGCAGGGATCCACTAATTTGAGTTTCACGGGGCGCAATAGCAATATGTGGCAGGGGCGCGAAAGCACGCACGTGGTTAGGGCACAACAGCATGAACGACTCTTCCAATTGCTCTGCGGGCTCCGGCTCCTCGTTCAGAGCGATATTCTTCTGGTTGCAAGTTTGCGCTATGATGTATCCTGCACTGTACTATACACATCACGCTGTTATCATTTACAAGCCATGCCATTCGCGATAACCTCTCAAGCGAAACTTGTCCCGAACCGTGCCAGACCAATCAATTTGCACGGGATGCTCACACGAAGCTGGCCCCAAACTAAGCCAAACCAGGCAAACCTACCGTGAGGACCGTTCAAGCAAAACCAGCCCCAGACCAAGCCAAACCACACGCACTGTGAGGACACCTCTGGCGACACCGGCCCCAAACCAGGCCAAGCCAAGGGCCAAATTAAGCGGATTGTAAAAACCTGAAGCGGGGCGCGCCACCAACGGAAGCCAACGCAGGCCATACCAGGGCATCAGGCAAATGGTTCTGACCTCCCAAACGAAACTTGACAAAATGGGATCAACACACTCCATTTTTTCATGAAAACAATAGACCAGCGCGCGCGCGCTTGGGTTCTGCCCGTCTTGGAATGTACAACAAGAAAGAGGGAACGTGCCCGAATACACCGGCACCGCAGGTTGCGAAGCTAGCCAGCGTGATCGTTTTTGAAGGCGCAGGAATGGGATGCGGTTAAGGTGAGGGATGTACGGTCGATTGTAAAGACAGTGTCACATACACATTAATATGAACACGTACTTTTCTCAGCTGCTGCCCCCCCCGTCTCCAAGCTCTCCACTAGTGAAAAGTATGGGAGGGGTAGGGGTTGCGGTGAAGTGTCGCGGTCGTGGGGCCCTGTGGGCTCAAATTGGGCCTTTCTTGAGGCCCCCTTGAATCTCTTGGGGTATTTCTTGGAGCCACTATCAGCCCCCCTAGGCTCTTGGGCCCTCTTGACGCTCGTGGGGCCATCTTGCAACCTTCTTCGGACATTTCGGAGCGTTTGGGGCAGTCCTGGGCCAGATTGGCACCTTCTTATGGGCCCTTTTGGCTTGGCTCCTCAAAAATCATCTAGGAGCTACATTGTGTCGGACTGTCGAATCCATAAGACGACATCGAAAACATATGTATTCCCAGCGTTTTCGTCAAATGCTGGCCGTCTGGGGGGTCCGCTTGCAGCCAAAATGCGGTTTCTTGCCACCGTCTTCAGGTTGTCCTGGAGCCGATTCGGCGCTCTTGGAGCCTCTCGCAAGGGAGCCCAGGCGAAGACTCCCTGCGGGAAGGGAGCCCGCAAAGTGGCCCCTGTGCCCTGGGCCATGGGCGGGGGTGCTTCTGGGGCCCCAGCCCCCCCGTCCGACGAGTCCGAAAGCCGACGCCGCCGCCGCCGACGCCGACGCGGACGCCGCCGCCGCCGACGACGGCGACGACTATGACTATGACTATGACAGCGCCGACGCCGACGCCGACAACCGCAACAACAACAGCAACAATAACAACAATCATTTTAAGACTTCGCTCTTATCTGCTCGCGTGTCGTTCAATATGCATACCCCAGACCCTGGATGCCCGCCCTCTTCGTCTTCGATCGTGCCCCCTGTTGGGGGGGTATATTCATTCCCTGCCACGTGCGGTTGGTGAAACCCTTGAAAACGAAGGGTAACAGATAACGGGGGAGAACGAGGACGAAGGGATCGGAGGAAGGGAGGGGAGGGGCAAGACGGAAGGAGGACAATGATCTGCGCTGCGAGTGGCGATTCAACTTGCGCCATGGCTTGCGTCAGCCACTCCAACACAGGTTAACAATAAGTTTCGCCATGGGTCGCGCCATAAACAGCGCCACGTACCACCCCTTTGAGAGAACATATCGTGGATACCCCCACGGGGGGACGTACAGCTGCGAACTGGCGTCATAAACAAATTTCGTGGAACCTTGAAAAGCAGCGGGATGCTGGGAGAGCGGGGCGGAAAGATAGTGAGAAGTGCAGAGGTGTCGAAAGGAACGCGGAAGCCCCAAGTGAGAGCGCGATTCTTCAATAAATTGTGAGAAGTATCAAGCGGGAGCCGCGATCCGGTGGTAAATTGCAAGGAAGTCCCAAGCGACAGCGCGATTCTTCCATAAACTGTGAAGAGATATCAGGCGGGAGCCGTTGTTGTTGTAAACCAGGGGCCAACGACACAGTTTGACCCTCAGGACTTTCCCAAATAAAAACCAGGGTGCGAGCCCCAGGAAGGGCACTTCAATCGAAAAAAAAACAATGTGCTCTGGACGGGGGGGATCAACAATAATTATTCTTCAGAAATGAAAGTTCAACAACAACAACACCAACAACAGCAGCAGCAGCAGCAACAACAACAACGACGACGACGACCACGGCGCCTTCCCTGGCTAGCTTGGAGGTTCGGGAGTCGTGCCGGCGCGGCAGACGCTATAGAGAGGAAGGGGGAGGTATTCCTCTCTCTCTCTCTCTAGTTCTGTCTGTCTCTCTCTCTCTCTCTCTCTTTCGTCATCTTCGTGCTCCCAGGTGGATCGACGATCAAGGTCCTCATGTTCCCCCTCCCCATCCTTCTCCTCCTCCCTCCGCCTCCTCCCTTTCCTTCTCTTTTCCCTCTTCCTCCTCCTCCCACATTATCCTCATC